TAAAAAGGAAATGGGCAAAATGTAATTTTACTTGGGGAGAGTCATCTAGTTAATCTTTCATTAGCAAAGAATTGATTAAAAAATAAAAATAGAGTAAGCCCTAAATAGAATTGCTTATGCTAAGCCACATCACCAAATAGCTACTAATTGACTCAATATTTTATCTCTGAGAGAGTCAAATTATAATTAAGAAAGTTTCAGGGCAGAGTGATAGTACAGTGGGTAAGGGCACTTGCCTTGCATGCTGAAGACCCAGGTTCAATCCCCAGCATCCCATATGTTCCCCCAAGCCCATCAAGAGTGATACCTGAGTTCAGAGCCAGAAATAAGCCCTGAGCACTGCCTGATGTGGGGCTCCCTCCATAAAAAATTAAAAATGATTTCTATTTGGTGATGCAGCTTAGCATTACTGTATCACACTGTATCACTGTCATCCCGTGGTTCATCTATTTCCTCAAGCAGGCACCAGTAACGTCTCCATTCGTCCTCGCCCTGAGATTTTAGCAAGTGCCACATTGGGGGCTCTTTCAGCGTCAGGGGAATGAGACCCATCATTGTTACTGGGTTTTGGCATATTGAGTGCGCCTTGGGGAGCTTGCCAGACTCTGCTTTGCAGCAGGATACTCTCAGTAGCCTACGGGGTTCTCAGAGAGCGAGAACTAGACAATAAGAAGTCGCAGCCACACGCTTCTGGGAGCTTGGTTTTATTGTCTCTGGGTCTTGGCCGTTGATGGGATTACACGGCACCAGGGGGCAGTTGGTGAGTGTAACTGCCTAGCTATTGGAAGATAGGGGATCTGGGTGGAGGAGGTCCATTCCCGATCTGAGCAGCCTTGGAGATCTCAGCCCTGGGTCCTGCACACCTGGGTTCTTCTGCCGGTTCCTTCATGTGTGAGGCTCGTTCGAGCGTGTAGAGAGTGATCTTAAGCATAGCTATGGTTGGTTCTGGAGGTTTTCAGCTGCTGGGGCTCTGCTCGGGGTGTGGAGGGAAACTCAACTCACCGTCCTCCAAGGGATCCTGGTGGCGTTTCAGAGGGACCATGGGTGCAGGCAGGGTATCTAACCCAAGCCTTCTGCATGCAAATCATCGATTCCAGTCATTGAGCCATCTTTCTGACCCAATGCATGGATTTTTTTTATGAGATGATTCTCTTTATTCTGGAATGAACAGGATTTACCACTTCAAGAAGATTATTTATATTTTGCCCATAATTGGGAAATACCAGTATTGCTTTGAAGTTTCAAAAATGATATTTTGAACATTATCGTTTTAATCAGTCTCCTGCCCCCGCTCCTGGCTTAGCATAAAAATTCTATTTAGGGCCTACTATCTTTTTATTTATTTATTTTTAACAATTCTTTGCTTAAAGATCTTTTAAAAACCCACACACTTTATGAAACTATTCATTGGTTTTTAGAGGAACCAGCCTTGCCAACATAAATCTCAGGGTTACTGCTGTGCCTTTTTACTTCCACATTAGCATACTTACTGACATGGTCACGTGGGAAGCAGCAGAGTTAGGGCTTAGCCAGTTGAATAAAACTGTGTAGAATCTTGGGTGGAGGCAGGGGAGAATTTGGAGCTCAGGGCATGAACTGGAAAGAGAGAAGAGGTGGGTGATGTGAGGAAAAGCTGGAGTGGCGGATGTGGCTGAGGGGTGATTTTGAGGATAACCTGTAAGATTTAGGTGGAAGTTGACTTCAGGTAAAACACGTGAGTGGTTCTGATCCAATCCTAACAGAGAAATAATAAAATAGGGCAATGATGAGAGAGTGGGGAGATATGATCCCCTGAGAACTGCAGCAAGGATAGCTTCCTAGAACCATCAGGTGTGGACCCCAAATTTAAAAAAACCCTCCCCCCACCAAATAGCAATAATGATTTGAAAGAAGCAACTGATTGCATGTCTGCTTCTGTTCAGTGCATTATGCTAGCACAGAGTAGCTTACAGTTACCTGTGGGATAAACATTATCCCCACTTTTTAGACATGAAAGCTGAGACCCAAAAACCAGTACCTAGAACTCTTTTATTTCATTATAGTGCCTCCCCATAATCATACAAACAATGTAGGCTCTGACAACCAGGGATAAAACCCCTCCGCTCTCTCTTCTCTGTCTCTGTCTCTGTCTCTGTCTCTCTGTCTCTGTCTGTCTGTCTCTCTCTCTCTCTTTCTCTCTGTCTCTGTCTCTCTCTCTCTCTCTCTCTCTCTCTCTCTCATTGAATCCCTGTGAGATACAGTTACAAACTCAGTTTATGATTGAGTTTCAGTCACACAGTGATCAAATACCTGCCCCTCCACCAGTGCACATTTTCCACCACCAATGTCCCCAGTATGCGTCCCACCACTCCCACCCTCTCCCACTTCCTGCCTCTATGGCAGGCACCTTCCTTCTTACTCTCCACTTTGGACATCGTGGTTTGCAATGCAGATACTGAGAGGCCATCATGTTTGGTCCTTAGTCTACTTTCAGCACACATCTCCCATCTTGATTGATCCCTCCACAATCATTGACTTAGTGGTCCCTTCTCCATCCCAACTGCTTTCTCCCCGAGTCCATGAGGCAGGCTTCCAAACCGTGGAGAGATCCTCCTGAAAACCCTCCTCTCTTACAGGGCCCGCTTCACAGGCAGAAGGCCTGTGTGAGATGAAGTCTTTCTCCCTCTGTTTTTACCTACCAGTCTACCCTTTTTATGGGTAGAAACCCTAGCCTTCTTCCTTCATGGTTTGGAAGAAGGAAGGAAACCCTCCTTCACCCTTGAGCTTCAAGTATGCATTTGAAGACAGTTTAAAGCTCTTTTGCCACAGGGTGGGCACAGTGCTGTGAGAGTGCAAGAGGGAAGTCCATTTAACTGCATGGGGTTTTATCCCCAGTGACCTGGTACATGACCTGTTAATATATCACAGCCTTTGACCCATGTTTACAGAAGGAATAAAGGAAATGCAGTGGTGGGACAGTAGAATATGATTGGTGGAGAGCAACCACCAATGAGACAGCACCCTCATTACTTCCCCTACCCATCTCATGGTCTAATGCTGCTTCCTCTAAAATATATTCGTTTGTCCACAGCACCCAAAAGGAAAGAGAGAACAAAAGAGAGTGCCCTGCCACAGAGGTAGGGTGGGATGGGGGGATGGGGGGTGGAAGGGATACTGGGATTAGTGGTGGTGGAGAATGGGCACTAGTGGAGGGATTGGTACTCCATCATTGTATAACTGAAACCCAAGCACAAAAATTTGTATGTCTACAACTGTATCTCATGGTGTTTCACTCATAAAAATTAAAAATAAAATAAAATATATTCGTTTGTTGGCCAGATAGTGCAGTGAGTAAGGTGCTTGCCTTCCATTTGGCTAACCTGAGTGTGATCCCTGACATCCCATATGATTTCCCCCATCCTCTCCGTCCTCGGCCCTGCCAGGAGTGATCTCTGAGCCTAGAGACCTGAGTATAGCAGGGTGTGGCCCCCAAATAAACAAACAAGATGCATTCATTTGTTTGGGGGTCACTCGTGCAGCTAGCAGTTCTAGGGTAGTTTTGGTGGTGTTCACGACTGTGCAGTGCCTAGGACTCAACCTGGGCCTCCTGCACACAGAGCATGAGCCCAACCATTAAGCTTCCAAATCTCTCTGGTCCTAAGGTTTTATTATTTATTATTTTTATTTTTTGCATTTTGGGTCATATCCAGAGATGCTCAGGGATTACTCCCAGATCCACACTCAGGAATTACTCCTGCTCAGAGGACCATATGGGATGTCAGATATCCAACGCAGGTGGGCCACATGCAAGGTAAAGCCCTCTCCGCTGTGCTGTTGCTCCAGTCCCCACCCCCACCCCCACCTCCCTTGTATTTTTTTTTTTTAAGTCTTAACAAGTACTGGTAAACAGATGCCTGAAACCATCCCAAGAGGCACCTCTCCTGGAGAATATTTTCAAGCTTTACTCATCCGCACAACCACCTACAGGGTAGGAGGTCAATATTCCCCTTCGAGATAAATGTGTAGACTAGAAAGTTACTCATGTCATTATCATCATCATCATCATCGTCACACACACACGCACACACACACCAAGAACCTACTACCCTGGGGAAATGAATTGCTATTCAATATCGGTGGGTGGAACTGCAGTATGCAGTGTGTCAGGATCTACCCCAAGTCAAGGAGCTTACTTTGCCCCTACCTGCTATGTGTACTATGTGTACTATGTTCACGATTGACCATCTAGTCTTAGACTCACTGTTCAGACACCTGGAAAGGTTAAAGCCACCAGTCTGGCTCGAAGGCCGCAGAGGTGGGACCTTTAAATTCGCCCTCCCAGACCCAGAAGCCTGCAAATGAAGCTGTAAGTTGGGCTGCCCATTGACTTCTTGAGGGGCACAATCACTGTTATTATTTCGGGTACCCTCCTCCGTGTTCACTTTTTCGTGCCCACAAGTCACTGCTTCAGTTTTTACTAACTCAGCTGTTCTGTTTTGGGTTTGGGTGGGTGTAGTTGGGGTGGGGTGGTGGTAATAAGCCACTGCAGGGTGGACTCCAGAAACCAGGTATGGGGGGGGGGAAGGGGGTCTCGGTAACCCCCGCCCCTGGAAACTGGAAAACGCAGTTTCCAAAACTCCCCTTGCCACAGAGGGAATTGTGGAAAGTTGGTCCCTGCAGGTGGCGTGCGGCGCGGTCCTGGAACGGTTTGGCAGAGGAAGCTGGGGGCACACCCCAAAGGGCGTGGGAACAGCGCGGGCACCTTGTGCTCGAGGCTGCAGCCCTCCCGCCCCACTCCAGCAAGTTCGGGGGTGGGAGGACGGGTTCATCAGAAGGTGAGTGCAGACGGCAGGAGTGACTGCAGCGCTACTCCCCTCCGGGTGGCCCGCTCGGAGACCCTCCCCGCCAGGCGGGGGCCGCGGCGCGCTGCAGCCCCTCCCCGGGTCCCGCCCCCGGCGCCGGGGGGCCGGGCTTGCGCAAGGGGGGCCGGCGGCCGCGGCGGCGGTGGTGACAGCCGCTCCCCGCCCCCTCGGGCCGCCACGTCCCGCACGTAGCGCCGGGCCCAGGGAACCCGGCAGGCGCCCGGGCTCGCCATGCGGCTGGTGCGGCTGGTGCGCGGGGCCGCCTCGGCCGGCCGGGCCGCCCGCCCCTGCGCCCGGCGCGGCCTCACGTCGAACGCGGGCGCCGAGCGCAGCGTGCCGGGCCAAGTGGACTTCTACGCGCGCTTCTCGCCGTCGCCGCTTTCCATGAAGCAGTTCCTAGACTTCGGTGAGTGCGCGCGGCGCGGGCCTCGGGCCTTTGTGTGCGGCCCGGGGCGGGGAGACGCGGCCGCTGCGCCCCCCTCCTCCGCCTCCTTTTCCTCTTCCTCCTCCTCCTCCTCCTCTTCCTCCTCCTCCTCCTCCTCGCCTGCACGTCTGGCCGCCCCGCGCCTGGGGGTTGCTTCGTGCCTTCTTCCCTCGCCCAGATCTTCCTGCTCCGGAGCTGGCGGAGGGACAGGCCGCGCTCGGAACCGGGAAAGGGGGCGTGCGCCCTTGCCTTAGCGCTGCTCGTTGCCAAAAGCAGCCCGTGGAGAGCCACCCAGGCAGATGCTCCAGGAGCAGGAGGGCGCGCGCGCGCCCGGGCACCGTCGGTGGAGCCCACCCCTCCCCTGGTCCGCGCGGGGGACACCTCCTGGGGACGTGCTCGCGCTCGGTCCGGGGGTGACCTGGACCTCGGTTGTGCACACGGTGATTGCAGAAAATTGGTGTGGGGTGGGGGTGGGAGGGGAGTAGGTAATACATCGCCCATTGTTTCCTAGAACTTTTTTTTTTCACATTTATTTTTATTAAGACACCGTTTTTCAAAGTTGTTTATAATAGAGTTGTTTCAGACATACAGTGTTCCAACACCACTGTGACCTTCCCTCCTCCAGTGGCCCCAAGTTCCCTCCCACCCTGGCACGGTTTCTTAAGCCACTGAGTTCGGGGGTGTTCCCACCAGCTGCACTTTCATTTCTCTGCAGCCAACACATCTTGAGCACGTGTGTGCCCGAGCACGGTCTGCAGTGAGGTCACCACCTTTCACCCTGTTGGAGCAGACAGGCCCCCTTACGCTTTGCACGTAGCTGGGTTTTTTTTTTTTTTTTTTTGCATTTTCTCTGGAAAGGATGCAACTGATTGTGAAAAATTGCAAATTGTGGGCATTTGACTTCTCATAGTGGAGGGAAAAAAATGTGAGTGTTGAAAAGAAGTTATCTTCTGCATGAAGTGCTATAAAGTCACCCACATTCAGTTTGGGCCCAGAAGATAGAGGCTTAGAACCTTTATCTTAAAATTGTGCTTGTGTATGTGTGTCCCATTCTTTATCAGAGTCTGCCATCAGCCTTTAACTTTAAAATGACTTTCTTGGGATTAAGGGTGGTAGGGTGGGGTGAATTTGTCTCTGTTCCCAAGTATGGCAGAAACTTTTAGCAAAAGAATTGTTTTCCCCCCCTAATAGTTTAGTTTTGCTTAGGCCATTCCTTTTGCTAAAGGAGTTTAGTTTTGCTTAGGCCATTCCTTTTGCTAAAGGAGCAAGATAAGATTAATGAGTTTTAGGAATAGGATTTTTCTTTTTACTTTCAAGGGAACTGTTTGCCAAAGCTAAAGAGATTCTGCCACTATTATACCAGCAGCCTGATACCCAGGCGGAGGAGGAGAAGGAGCTGGAGCCGGTGGAATTCCAGAAATCAGACAATAGGACTGAGCAGGCAGTGGGGAAAGTTTGATGATGGAGGCTGAAAGGTCATTTTTGGTGGCATTCTCTGCTTGCTGCTGACTTCCTTCTTACTCGTGGTAGTGTAATGGTTCTATATGGAATCCGCCGATCTAGCTTTCTGTCAACTTGTCAGCATTGCTGTTTCTTAGACATGTCTTTTTGTTCTCATAAACTGAGTTAGCAAACAGATTTTCTAACTGATAGCGGCAACAGGTTATAAGAGCTTTTGCAGGTCCTACTGTTCAGTAGACTCGGCAGCTTGCTCAGACTTGCTTAGGTTGCCTTACTTCCACCTTGGGAGATCATGTAAGGATGTAGGTCATGGAAAATGGAAACTGACATCCTGTCTCTGCAACGGCATTGGGATGTCAGGAACTGCAGCGTGTTCTGGACAGCCTGAGAGACCGTGTTGGTTGCTCATCTCCTCCCTCACCTCTCCTTCCCTGTCTCCTCACGCGTCCCCTCCCGACTGAATCAAAAAGCTTAACTCCCTTTCTCCCCGCCTTCTGGCTGCTGGCACTGACTCTGCTCTTCCCCGCCGTGGTTGTTTGCAGGAACTGTGAATGCCTGCGAGAAGACCTCCTTTATGTTCTTACGGCAGGAGTTGCCCGTTCGGTTGGCAAACATAATGAAAGAAATAAGTCTTCTTCCAGATAATCTTCTCAGGACTCCATCAGTTCAGTTGGTTCAAAGCTGGTAAGGTCCCTGTTTTGTGTTTGTAATTTCCATGGAGTTGTGGACTTTGCGGATTTTAGCAGAATCTTAAGGTAGCACTATGATTTTCCCTCTTTTTGTGTGTATGGGGGGAGTGTGTGTGTGTGGCTATATCTGGGCTTATCTCTTGAACCACATCTTAGTTTTGAAAACAAGCAATCGGAACAACACAGAACTATAGACAATAAACTTAAACTACTGGGATATTATAATAAAAATTTCTACCATTGTTGTTGTCTAGGGATTTGTATGCATTACCTTTTTTTTTTTTTCTTTTTGGGTCACACCAGGCGATGCACAGCGGTTATTCCTGGCTCATGCACTCAGGAATTACTCCTGGCAGTGCTCGGGGGACTATATGGGATGCTGGGAATCAAACCCGGGTCGGCTGCATGCAAAGCAAGCGCCCTACCCACTGTGCTATCACTGCAGCCCCATGTATGCATTACCTTTAATCGCTCCTGCAGCCTTCCCCTGCAGGCATCTTCATCTCAGTTTTATGGGCCAAGAGACTGAGGTGAGTCTACAGTGAAGCTCTTCACTTCAGGCGGTGTCATTCATAGTGGAGCTGGGATTCAAACCCAGAGAGCTTTTCTTCTAGCATAGCATGCTCTAGTCAGAATGATGAACTGTGTGAAGGGATGTGCTTATTTTTAATACATTTCTTTTATTGAAGTATGTCTTTGAAGTCTTAAAGTTAGAATTATTACATTGAAAAAGAAGCAGCTATTAATGGGATCATAAAGAAAAAAAGGATCTTTTCCTAAGTAGAGGGGCTGGGGAGATGATATCAGAGAGTCACGCATCTATCTTGCATGCTGCAAAGCCCTATATTGCTTCTGGTCCCCAAGCATTCCCCCACCAGCACTGCCAGGAGTAAGCCCAGAGCACTGCCTGAAACAAACAAGCAAAAAATGACAAAATTTTTTTTTGTAGGTCATGGAAAATGGAAAACGGCATTTTCCATTTTCTATTAGATACTGTCTAGCCCAGGGATGGAGCAGTTATTCTGAATGTGGTTTAAATGAGAGGTATTTGTTTAGCAAATATGGTAGAATAGAAAATAGAACACAGGCTTTTCTATGAAAATTTATTTTTTCCCCACAATTCTTCCTTAAAAATATAATGTGCGTAGTAGGGGAAAAGGCAGCTCAGATAGAGAAGGGAGCACCAAATAAAGGGTGTTGGGAGGATCCTCCTAGGCTGGGAGATGCATGCTGAAAGTAAACTATAAGATCGAACATGATTGCCACTCAGTGCTTCTTTTGCAAACCATGGTACCCAAAAGGAGAGAGAGAACAAAAGGGAATGTCCTGCCACAGAGGCAGGGTGGGACGGGGTGGGGGGTATGGAGGAGGGATACTGGGATCATTGGTGGTGGAGAATGGGCACTGGTGGAGGGATGGATAACTCGATCATTGTATAACTGAAACCCAAGCACAAAAATGTGTAAGTCTACAACTGTACCTCATGGTGTTTCACTAATAAAATTTTTTTTAAAAAGTAAAAGAATAAATTAAAAAAAATATATCATGTGTGGAGCGATAGCACAGTGGTAGGGCGTTTGCCTTGCGTGCAGCCAGCCTGGCTGAGCCGGGTTTAATTCCTCTGCCTCTCTTGGAATTAAAGCAAGATACCGAGAGTATCTCGCCCGCATGGCAAAGTCTGGCAAGCTACCCATGACATATTCAATATGCCAAACACAGCAACAACAAGTCTCAAAAAAATGGAGACGTTACTGGACCTGCTTGAGCAAATCAATGAACAACGGGAGGACAGTGACAATGTGATAGTGTGTGGATAGTACAGTGGGTAGGGCACTAGTCTTACATGGGCTAAACTGGGTTTGATGCCCAGCATCCCATATCATCCCCTGAGCCTTCCAGGAGTGATTCCCAAGTGCAGAGTCAGGAATATTTCCTGAGCACTGCTGGGTATAATAACCCAAAAGACAAAAGACAAAAATTTCTCCTTTTTTTTTTTTTGTTTTTGGGTCACACCCAGTGATGCTCAGGGATTACTCCTGGCTCATGCACCCAGGAATTACTCCTGGCCATGCTCGGGGGACCATATGGGATGCTGGGAATTTAACCCGGGTCAGCTGTGTGCAAGACAAAGGCCCTACTCGCTGTGCTATCACTCCAGCCCCCATAAAGTTCTACATTTTGAAATCTGGTCTGTGCCTGCCTGGTACATTAGAGGTCATCAAATACCTCTTCAATAAAGAGCCCAGTTTCTTGCCAATGAAGAGAAAATGAAGGGTTAAAAGAAAATGGTAGATAGTAAGAATCACTTGACTTTGGAATGTACCGAAGTGAATTGCTGTTCAGAAACAGCTTTCCAAACCAGTATAAGGGTTGACAGGTTTTTCCAGCACTTGTGAGGCCTGTGATGTAAACTAGGAGCTGGCAGCAAAGCAGAGCTTCCAAAGGCCAGTAGCAGGGAGAAGAAGCGTTCTTGGCGTTGCCCCTATTGCCAGGCGCCTGCCCTTGAGAAAGTTAGCCGGCTCTCCTCATCTTGCTTCTTCCTTGACAGAGGGTTTGCTATCTTGAATTGTTCCACAAGTTAAAGACCTACATTTTATGGGACTGGACAGTAGTACAGCAGGTAGGTCTGCTTGCCTTGCATATGGCCAACCTGGGTTCAATCCCCCCGGCACTGTATATGGCCCTCAGACCCTGCCAGGAGTGATCCTAGAGTGCATAGCCAGGAATAACCTCTGAGCATAGCCAGGTGTGGCCCCCAAACAAAAATATAATAAATAAAAATGTTTGGGGATGTGTTTATACAGCGGTAGGGCTTTTGCCTTGTGTGCAGCTGCCCGGCCCAGCCGGGTTTGATTCCTCCGCCCCTCTCAGAGAGCCCAGCAAGCTACTGAGAGTATCTCGCCCACACTGCAAAGCCTGGCAAGCTACCCGTGACATATTTGATATTCCAAACACACTAACAACAAGTCTCAGGATGGAGACGTTGCTGTGCCCGCTCGAGCAACTCGATGAACAACGGGAGTACAATGCTATGTGCTAATATTTTGTTATATTTTGGAATGTTTGTGTTTATTTTCCATGCCGCTTAAAAAAGACCTGTGTGGCAGATTTCAGGCTTTGGCTATAAAGGTCTGAAATTAAGGTTCTATGTTAGTAATCTCTTCTACAGTGGCTTAATGGCTCCATGGTGAGATACAGCAATATTCACACACTTAGATCTAAGGAAATATTTTTTAATCGTTTTATAACAAGCAATATAAAATTAATTATTCAGGGCCTGCACTTGTGCAGGCTTTGAGGGGTGGTTGAGAAAATTGGAAATAGTAATGGTGGGAAGGTGCAATAGTGGTGGGATTGGTGTTGGAAGATTGAATGTAATAAATTATGAACAACTTTATAAAAGTAGTTAAAAAAATTAAGGCTTTTTAAAAATCCAGACCATTAAACTAGATGCTTAGATCAAGACAGACTGTCCTCTCCATGTCATGAACCTAAGCTAAGTTTAGTCATTCATCTGGATCCCATGGTTGCAAAGCGCAGTTCTCATAAACAGTATGCATAATGCAAAGTGCCGGGTCAGTCTGAGGAATCGTAAAGCAATTTGTGAGTACGGAAATTTTTTTTAAAAATGGAGTCAATCCTAATGTGCTTGTTTAAACTACGTTTTTAGAGAAAACATGCAACCTGAATAACTGTTAAACTGCTACGTTTACCATGATTCCCAGCATTTTTTAATTTCTTAGAAATCAGCTATTAAAAATACCCTTTGAGAACTGTCTTGGTAATGCAGAATGTGTTTACCCTATTAATTTGCATTTTAGGTATATCCAGAGCCTTCAGGAACTTCTTGAATTTAAAGATAAAAGTGCTGAAGATGTTAAAATTATATATGAGTAAGTACATTATTTTGATCCTGTTCTAAACACAACCTTTAAGCCATTCAGACGTTCTGTAAAAATGTAAATGTATTTAGCTTAAAAATGCTATAGGATCACTAGGGAAATTGGGTCCTGGATCTTCTGGACTATATGAGAGTCTATTTCTAGAAAAGTAACATGAATCACTAAAGTGGGGATGCCTAAGAAATATTTCCGGGAGCTGGAAGACAGTATAGCAGGTATGGCGTTTGCCTTACGTGCAGCTGACCGGGATTTGATGCCTGGCATCCCATATGGTCCCCCGAGCACCACCACCAGGAGTAATTTCTGAGTGCAGAGCCAGGAATAACTCCTGAGCATCCTTAGGTATGACCCAATAAGCAAAAAAAAAAAAAAAAAGGAAAGATTTCCTTCTCCTCTGAACTCAACTATAAGAAAGACACAGTTCAAATGTGACCATCTGTGGAAACCTAGATGTGGCCTCAGTGGCACTAGGATAAAAGGGAACTGGTGAAGACTTAAACCTGGAGAGAACAGGTTTCTGAAATCACCATTTTTTGCTTAACTTGGTGATAGCAATGCAGAAACACGGGCCAGACTGGTTGGTTTATGTGTGTTTTAAGAAAAGCTGCAAGGTTTTTTAAAAAAGCTGTCTAGATTTTTCATGTCAAAATCTCTCAGTTTTGAAAGGTTAGCAAATCATTTTAAAAACACGAAGGCCCTAAGAAATGTCTGCCTGAGTCTCTAGTTTATGACCGTAGTCAATAACATAAAGAAAGCAGTACAGCCAAGTTAATAACCAACATACTCAAATTAGTTAGCCAGGCCATCTCCTCAGGCACTCACTTTGTTCCTCTGACCATTGCTCCAAACTTTCAGGCAGCCCTTGTTTGGTTAACCTTATGTTACATCTCATTTTTCACGGCCTTTTTTAAAGACCATGGCAGCCCTTCATAATTCAAACCCAGTTTGGGGGCCAGAGAGATAGTGAAGAAGGTACGGTTCTTCCCTACGTGCGTCTCTTGCCGGCTTGCTCCCAGTCCCACATTTGATTCCCTGATTAACACTAGAGCACCGAGTCAGGAATAGATCCTGAGCGCCACCATGTATGATGACCCAAATGTTCTAAAAGAAACCCCAGACAAACTCCAAAACCTGTGATTTTGGTTTGAAAATAACACTACGAATTTGCAGTTGTTGGGCTAGAGAGATAGTACAGAAGATAGTACTTGCCTCGCATGTGGCCAAACCAGAAAGATGTGGCCCAGTCCCTTCCCCACCCTACCGCCAAAAAAAAAAAAGAGAGAGAGAGAAAAAGAAGAATTTACTACTGCATTTGTTTCAGGTTTTTTTTGTTTTATATTTTATATTTATTTTATATTATATTTTATATTTATATTTTATATTTATTTTATATATTTTATTTTATATTTTATATTTTATTTTATTTTATTTATAGCTGGAGCGATAGCACAGTGGTAGGGTGTTTGCCTTGCACGCAGCCAACATGGCTGACCTGAGTTCGATTCCTCCACCCCTCTTGGAGAGCCCGGCAAGCTACCGAGAGTATCTCGCCCTCACGGCAGAGCCTGGCAAGCTCCCCGTGACATATTCGACATGCCAGACACAGTAACAACAAAGTCTCCAATGGAGACGTTACTGGGCCCGCTCGAGCAAATCGATGATCAACGGGAGGGCCTTTACCTTTACCTTTTTTTTATTTATTTGAGATTTGGGCCCAAACTGGTGATTCTCAGGGCTTCCTCCTAGCTCTGAGCTCAGGAATCACTCCTGGCAGGCTCAGAGAATAATATAAGGTGCCCAGGATTAAACCCAGGCTGAACTGAATTTACGCAAGGCAGGTGCCCTACCCACTGAACTGTCCCTTAGCCTCATCAGTTCTTCTTGTTTTTTAAGTAATTTAAATGAATCATTGAGATTTGATGAAAACTGGATTTAATCTAGATCGGGGGCACACTTTTGTACATAAATGATGTCATTTAGTCTTTAAAAAACAGCTATACTATGCTGTTCAGTGTTCAGAGCATTTAAGATCACAAAACCAGCAGTTGGTACTAGCATTTGTACCTGTCAACTTACTGTAAAGCGACATGGAGGAGCCAGAGAGGTTGTACATAGTATAGCAGGCAGGGTGCTTGCCTTGTACACAGCCAATCCAAGTTCAATCCCCAGCACCCCGTTTGGTCTCCTGAGCACTACTAGGAGTGATCGCTGAGTTCAGAGCTGGAAATATGTCTGAGCACCACTAGGTGTGGCCCCCAAACCCAAACAAACAGCAATAACAGCAAAATACTTACAGAGGCCCTTCTCCCTGCATGAAGTTAGGTCTCTAGAAAGAAAAAAACAACAACGTGGCAACTGGGAGAGGATTCAGTGGCTAAAGCGCCTGCCTTGCGAGGGTGAGCCATGAGCTTAGTCCCTGGGGCTGCTGCATACACCCAGCAGGGTCCTCAAAGTTCTGCTATCTGTGACCCCAGCACGTTAAGCAGTTTCCAGGTATATCCAAGCCCCACAACTAAATAAGTTGTGACTTATGACCCAGCCAAGCACCTCAACTGTTGGAGCACCATGGCCAGAAGTACAACACCCAGCAAGAGCATTGGCTTATCGTGTGTGAGCATCACAACCACATATTGGCCCCTGGAAAGCACCATAGTTCATTGTGCCTGCACCATAACCAGGCGGTGTGTGGTGTGTGTGTGTGTGTGTGTGTGTGTGTGTGTGTATGCATGCACGCATGCATAATTGTCACATGTTATGCTCCCCCCTCTTTATTTTTAAAAAGGAAATTGGCGTGCAACTATTATATAAAGGTTTTAATTTTTTTTTTTGTCAGTCAGGAGTGCTCAGGGGCCACCCCTATGTCTGTGGTCAGGGCCACTCTAGGCTCTGTGGTCGTGGACCACATCTGGCAGTGCTAGGGGACCCTATGTGATGTGCCAGGATTTAAATCTGGCATTTTCAAGACCTTATCTGCGGACAGTCACGGCAAATGCCTTGGGACTCTATTCTAACTCTCTGGCCCCATTATGTGAAGCTTTCTTTTACAATTTATTTTTTATTGAGTCCTGTGAGATACACAGTTACAAAACCGTTCAGTGATCAGGTTTGAGCCCTGCGGTGTTCCAGCATCCATCCCTCTACCAGTGTACATTTCCCACCACCAATGACCCCAATTTTCCTCCCACCACCCTGCTCCGAGCCTGTCTCTATGGCAGGTACTTCTCTCTCTCTCTCTTTCTCTCTCTCTCTTCACCTCCCTCCCTTCCTCCCTCCCTTATCCCCTTTCCCTTTTCCTCTTTTGGTCATTATGGTTTCGCAATACAGATACCAACGGGTTATCATCTTGTTCCTTTACCTACTTTCAGCGCACAGTTCTTATCCAGAGTGATCATTTTCAGCTGTCTTTGTCGTAGTAGTCCCTTCTCTGTCCCCCAATTGCCTTCTCCCCCAGCACACTTGAGGCAGACTTCCAACTGTGGACCCATCCTCCTGGCCCTTGTTACTACTGTCTTCGGGTATTAGTCTCATATTATGTTTATTTACATCTCACAAATGAATGCAGTCATTCTGTGTCTGTCCCTCTCCTTTCGACTCATTTCATTGAGTATGAATGGACCAACTTTTGACTAAAAAAGTTAAGTGCAGTAATTATGTCGTGGCAATGCTTATGCAGTGAAGCATAGTATGATATAGTATCTTGTTAAAAGTCAGAAGTGAAGCTAGAAAATAAACTGAACAGTTGGGGAGAATAATGCTGGTTTGGGTTCTTTAGAAAAAGAGGAGTGAGATAAGTAAATGAAAGGGGTAGCAAGAAATAAAGAGTTGTTTATTGTTTTCAAGGAGTTGCATGCATTTTGGATTCACAGTTTGCTTTTAAAGCATACACTAATAAGGAGTTCCAAAAAATGCTTTGGGTATTGAGAGTATCATTGACATAAGTTGATGGCACTCAAGATGATGACTTTGAATGGGAAAGCAGTCATTTGGAAGAGTAAATTCTGATGGGTATGTTACAGGATTGTTTCTGTTACTTTATAATTAAGACTGCTTAGTCTTTTAGTTCTTGACATTAATGATGCAATAATGTCTTCTAAATGATAAATAGGACGATTTGAAATATTTTCTTTTAACGGAAGTTTGCTTTTTCCTCTACAGTTTTATTTTTCAATTTAAAGTCTGGCAAGCTACCCGTGATGTATTTGATATGCCAAAAACAGTAACAACAAGTCTCACAATTTGTTGTGAGACATTACTGGTGCCCGCTCGAGCAAAATCGATGAACGACGGGAGGACAGTGCTACTTAGTACAGTGCTTCTCTTTTATTCCCTTACTCCTTCCCCTTCCCTTCAGTATTTTTGTTCTGTTTTGTTTTGTTTTTGGGTCAAACCTGACAGTACTCAGAAGTTACTGCTGGTTCTGCACTCAGGAATCACTCCTGGCTGTGCTCAGGGGACCATATTGGAGGCTGGGAATCAAATCTGGGTCGGCTGCGTGCAAGGCCCTACAGGCTGTGCTATCTTTCCGCTCCTACCCCTCCATTGTTATTATTGGTGTTATCTTTATGGGGTGACAGGGAGTAGCAGCTGCCATTAGTGCTTGTACATCATTTTATCCTCACTTAGTGGGGGTGGCATGCCAGGTTGTGGTGCTCACACTCTGGGCTGCAGTGCTCACACTATTGGCTGTGGTACTCATACTCTTGGCTGTGGTGCTCACATCTTAGCACTATAGCAGTGCTCACACTCAGCTACAGTGCTCACACTTGTGGTGCTCACAGTCCCAGCTACGGTGCTCATACTCTTGGCTGCAGTGCTCCGAGTTTGCCATTCTTTTGTTGTGTTTAAACATATTGTGCAGGGGTCACATTCCTTGTCATAGATGGGTGTGAGCTTCCTCATCCTGTTCAACTGTACTCACTGGGGTCGCACACCTCTTTGTGATGTGGCCAGAAGTTCCTTGCAGTGCCAGAGATTATAGATAGCAAAAGTTTCAGACTTAATCAGCAGAGCTGTTGGGATCACTTGGCATGTGTAGGTTACCAGGGTTTTCAACTGAGGATCATCTGAGCCACAGTTCTACTTTAAAAAAAATTTTTTTTTAAATTAGAGTCACCATAAGATACAGTTACAAAGCTGTGCATCATCAGGGTTCAGTCATACAGTATGCCAACACCCATCCTTCCACCAGTGTCCATTTCCCACCACAATCTCCCGCCACCACCCTTCCCCCACCCTGCCTTTATGGCTTTATGGCGGGCACTTTCCCTCCCTCCTACCTCCCTGCTTCCCTATTGGGCTTTATGGTCTGCAGTACAGATACTGAGAGGTTATGTTTGTTCCTTTACCTACTTTCAGCATGCAGTTCTTATCCAGAGTGATCATTTCCATATGATCATATGTCATTATGGTCCCTTCTCTATCCCAGCTGTCTTTTCCCCTGCTCTTAGGCAGGCTTCCAACCGTGGACTAATCCTCCTTGCCCTTTTCTACTGTTCTTGGGTATTAGTCTCATATTATGATTTTTTTTTTATATTCCACAAATTAGTGCAGTCATTCTGTGTCTTCCTTCTCCTTCTGACTTATTTCACTCAGCATGGTACTCTTCATGTCCATCTATGTATAAGCAAATTTCATGACTTCATTCTTCCTAACTGCTGCATAGTATTCCATTGTGTAGATGTACCTTAATTTTTTTCTTTTTTTTTTTATGTAGGAGTACTGCTATTTATTCAGCCATTGATTAGGCTAATTGAATTGGGCATGAACTCCACATTACTTTTTTTTTTCATTTTTTATAATTTTATTTATTGAATCACTGTGAGAGCAGTTACAAAACTTTCGGGTTTAAGTCTCGGTCATACAATGAAACACCCGTACTTTCACCAGTGCCCATTCTCCACCCCCAAAAACCCCAGTATACCCCTATCCCACACCCTCTCCCTACCTGTGGGACAGATGATTTCCACATTACTCTCTCTCTACTTTGATCACACTCAATATTTTGACACCAGACCCACCATATTATTTGGGATTTTACCCCAACACTCAGATCTGCTGAAAAGGCAACAGTGGACAATTTGTTTTCTATTGCTGGTTATGAATAGCATATGATGTCACGCAGCTGCAGTAGTGGCCACGCAATTTTGAAATTCCAAAATTTTAACACTTAAATCTGGAGGGATTTCTGCCAAAACCTGCTGGGTTCCAAGATTTGTTCTTGAGTCTCTGGGATCATGGCCGTTAAGCAGCTTGATCCGGAGCCAGAGAGGCTGTTCATGGGCGGTGACTCAGAGTCTTGTTGGGACAGGGAGGAAATGGCCGGCTCCACCCCCATCCCATGAGGCCCCACGTGTCTTGTCACTGCGGGCCCAAACCTGACTGTCCAATGGCCTCTGGAGGATGGTGGCCACCGGGCAGCCAGGGGGAACAGGCCAAGTCATGAAACCTATTCCCATCTGGGGTGGCCCAGTGCTGGTAACCATAGCAGGAACTGGACACATTTCTGCCAAAAGCCACTGGGTTTCGAGATTTGTTTCTGAGTCTCTGGGATCATGGCTGTTAAGCAGCTTATTCAGGAGCCAGAGAGGCCGTTTGTGGGCGGTGACTCAGGGTCTTGTTCGGATGGGGAGGAAAGGGCCGGATCCACCCCCATCCTGTGAGGCCCCACGTGTCTAATCACTACAGGCCCAAACCTGACTGTCCAGTGGCCTCTGGAGGATAGCGGCCACTGGGCCGCCAGGGGAAACAGGCCAAAGCACGAAACCTATTTCCATCTGGGTGACCCATCACCGGTAACCTACTGCAGGGACCAGACGCATTTCTGCCAAAAGCCGCTGGGCTTCGAGATTTGTTTCTGAGTCATGGGCTCATGGCTGTTAAGCAATCTGATCAGGAACCAGAGAGGCCATGCCTCCAATTACATAGCTGAACCAGAGAGGGTTTGTGGGTGTGTCTCCCACATACCTAACTTTTGGCTGTTTACTTTCTTGGTAAAGTTTGCCCCAACTTTTTGGGGTCTGGCCAAAGGCACAAAAGCAATTTTGGGGTATCCGGAAGTCTGAAGGTGCCATCAGGCTGCTGATGTACTTGCCTCACTGGTACAGATTGACCTGCTGGTGGCACCATACCCCCTTGTACCATAATTTCTTTAACCAGTTGTCACAATGTTACTTTTGCTGGCCATTTCTCTCCCCCCTCCCTTTTTTTTTAACCACATAGGATGAATGAAGTGGAGCTTTTTCTGTTTTTGTTTGTGTTTCTTTCTCTTTGAACAGCAGAGAACAGGTCTAAGAAAACCCTGATCATTTTAGGATTATGGTTGCAAGAAAGTAATTAAATTTTAAAAGCCATCCCTGGTGCCAAGGATTCACCCAGGACTTCATACATGGAAAGTTTTATACCCATAAGCCACATTCCCAGCTCCTTAAAAATTTACTTTGAAATGTCTTAGATCTTCATAGATTTGACATATTTTTTTCATCGAAAAAGTATTTAAATAAGTTTAGTTTTCCTAAACATACACTGAGAGAGGGTACTTTTACTAAGTTAGGGACTCCTTTGCAACTCTAGTTGGCAAGGCCTAGATTTTATGATTAAACTCATTCCTGAAAAAAAAAAATCAATTCAGCCCTGGAAGCCCTCTGCCGAGCATCACTGTGGTGGCCTAGGTCATTGCTGTCCTGGAGCAGTCCCACATCCTCAGGACTGAACCACCAGCCGGATTGATTGACTGAGTATCATTGGTGGGAGAGGCATCCAGGCTCTTTAGGGAGGTCCAAAAGCCGGGGATATTTTCACTTGTCAAATACTTGGCTGCTTTGACAGACAGATTTGTTTAGCTTTACAGATACTGTGATACGCATCAGGAACAGACACAATGATGTCATTACCACGATGGCCCAAGGTATTATCGAATATAAGGAGAGCTTTGGGGTGGATCCTGTTACCAGCCAGCATGTTCAGTACTTTTTGGACCGTTTCTACATGAGCCGCATTTCCATTCGAATGTTACTCAATCAGCACTGTAAGTGTCTGGGAGCCCAGAGGAGCAGCCAAGTAATATGCATTGCTGTGTTTAAAATTTGTTTAGAGAACTTCCCCCTTTAAGGAGAACTTTAAGTTGTATTCTTTTTTTTTTTTTGCATTTGCAAAGAAATTGTCTGCCATACAGAGGTGTCTTTGTTGAATGTATATGGTCAGCGTTATGTAATATACTGTGTTTATGTCTTAAGGAACATATATGCTCTATTTGATAGTGTTTAGAGAACCGAAGGAACACCCAGAAGAAAACAGTAGGTATTTTATTTGTTTTGTTTTTCTATTGATAGCCTTACTTTTTGGTGGAAAAGGAAGTCCATCTCATCGAAAGCACATTGGAAGCATAAATCCGAACTGCAACGTTGTTGAAGTTATAAAAGGTAAAGACTTACATATATTTTTCAGAGGTATGCAAAATTCAGAATTGTTGTGTTTGAGCTGGAGACATAGTATGGCGGGTAAGGTGCTTGCTCTGCATGCAACTGATCCCGGTTTCATCCATGACACCATATGTGGTCCCCTGAGTACAGAGTCAGAAGTAAACTCTTAAGTATTCAGTGTGGCTCAGAAACCAAAAAGAAAAAGAAGGGAAAAAAAGGAGTTGTGTTATTTCTTGATATTAAAACAATTATTTAGGGCTAGAGAGTTAGTAGCACTGTAGCACTGTCCTTCCATTGCTCATTGATTTGCTCGAGCGGGCCCAGTAATGTCTCCATTGTGAGATTTGTTGTTATTGTGTTTGGCATATCAAATACGTCACGGGTAGCTTACCAGGCTTTGCAATGCGGGACAAATACTCTCGGTAGCTTGCTGGGCTCTCTGAGAGGGGCAGAGGAATGGAACTTGGGTCAGCCAGGTGCAAGGCAAATGCCTTACCTGCCGTGCTACCCAGCCCAGAGAGTTAGTACAGGGTTTAAGGTGCTTGCCTTGCATGTGGCTGGCCTCAGTTTGATTTCCAGAACCACACTGCTCCACTGAAAACGTGGCCCAGAAACGCCCACCAAAAATAAATGCAACAACAGTATCATGAGATAAAATGGTACAATCAGAGAATCAGTTCATGGCGTTCAATGCGGCTTTCTCATGTTAATCGGATACATGTGTCCTATGAATAGTGTGCTGATAGAATACTTTGTTAGGCAGTTTGGTGATGTGAAGGAGGCATTCTTTTCACTTTGAAAAATTCAAGTTCTCCCTCCCCTCTCTTTTTTTCCCCATTTTTATTTTTTATTTATTTATTTTATTAGTGAAACACCATGAGGTACAGTTGTAGACTTACAAATTTTTGTGCTTTGGTTTCAATTATACAATGATCAAATACCCATCCCTCCACCAGTGCCCATTCTCCACCACCACCAGTCCTAGTATCCCTCCCATCCTCCCATCTCTCCCTTCCCATCCCACCTCTGTGGCAGGGCATTCCCTTTTGTTCTCTCTCTCCTTTTGGGTGTTGTGGTCTACAAAAGAGACATTGAGTGGCAATCATGTACGGTCTATAATCTACTCTCATCACACATCTCCCATCCTGAGAGGACCCTCCAGACACCCTGTATTTGGTGCTCCCTTCTCTATCTGAGCTGCCCTTTCCCCTAGAATGGCCGGCTGGCCTCTAAGCCATGGAGTAATCCTCCTGGTACTGATGTCGTCGGCTATTCTTGGGTATTAATCTTATATTTTGTTACTTTATATCCCCCAGATGAATGCAATCTTTCTATGTCTATCCCTCTCTTTCTAACTCATTTCGCTTAGCATGATACTTTCCATGTTGTACCACTTGTATGTAAATTTCATGACTTCATCTTTTCTAACAGCTACATAGTACTCCATTGTGTAAATGTACCAAGGTTTCTTTAACCAGACATCTGTTCTCAGGCACTCAAGTTTCTTCCAGGTTCTGGCTATTGTAAAGAGTGCTGCAATGAACAAACAAGTGCAGATGTCACTTCGACTATACATTTTTGCCTCTCTGGGATATATTCCCAGGAGTGGTATTGCTGGGTCAAATTCTCCCTCCCCTCTTTCCAATTCCCTGTGCTAGGAGTTCTAATTCATAATAATGGGATTTACATTTTCCCACATTTTTTCCTCTTTATGTCACAGAAATTCATTTACTTACATCATTATTGGTCTTACATTGGTTTTTTACTATTTTGGAAAATGGGACACTGTATATTGTTCTGTTCATCTACAGACACCCTCTCATGACTGGTACAATAGGCTATGCACAGGATTTTGAATGGCTGACTGGAAGTATCAAAATATAGGAGTCCATCTCTTGTTGATGCATACCCAGGTTGCTTCAATTTTTTTGTTCAACCAGGGCAGACTCCCCAAACCCTTGGGGGGAAAAAAAGCAAACCAAAAAGCATGGGACTGAGGCCTTGCTTCAGTTGTTTTTTCCTATTGCAATTCTGCAGAGAGAAAATTTAAATAGGTGATGACATTTTTGGCTAGCATTTTATTTTTTATTTATTTATTTATTTATTGCTTTTGGGGTTGGAGCGATAGCACAGCAGTAGGGCGTTTGCCTTGCACGCAGCCAACTTGGCCGAACCGAGTTCGATTCCTCCGCCCCTTTCGGAGAGCCCGGCAAGGTACCGGGAGTATCTTGCCCGCACAGCAGAGCCTGGCAAGTTACCCGTGATGTATTCGATATGCCAAACACAATAACAACAAAATCTCCAATGGAGACGTTACTGGGCCCGCTCGAGCAAATCGATGAACAACAGGAGGACCGTGACCAGGACCGTGACCATTGGGTCACACCCAGCGATGCACAGGCGTTACACCTGGCGGTGCTCGGGGGACCATATGGGATGCTGGGAATTGAACCCGGGTCAGCTGTGTGCAAGGCAAATGCCCTACTCGTTGTGCTATTGCTCCAGCTCCTTGGCTAGCATTTTAGAAAGCAAAATTTCTAGACTAAAAATTCTTTTTTTTTTTTTTTTTTTTTTTGCTTTTTGGGTCACACCCAGTGATGCACAGGGGTTACTCGTGGTTCATGCACTCAGGAATCACTCCTGGTGGTACTCGGAAACCATATGGGATGCTGGAAATTGAACCTGGGTCGGCTGCGTGCAAGGCAAACGCCCTACTTGCTGTGCTGTTGCCCCAGCCCCCTATTGTCATCTTAATGCATGAAATAGATGTAAATTAGTTAAAGCATTATCCTTTTTTTAACTTTTTTTTTTTTTTTTACATTTTGATTCCTGCTAGATGGCTATGAAAATGCCAGGCGTCTGTGTGATTTGTATTACATCAACTCTCCTGAACTAGAACTTGAAGAATTAAATGGTAAGCCTGATATTCTTTTTCCTCAATAATTATTACTGTGATTATCTGAGAAGAGAGGTTAAGAATTCTGATTTATTTGATTATAGATTTATTTCATCCATTTTTTGGAACTGAAAGTGAGGTTAAAAACAACTGTGTTAAAATGTGTGTGTGTGTGTGTGTGTGTGTATGAGAATTTATTTATAGGCAATATGAAAAATATGAACATTTGTCTTCCCCATGTTTCTTATTTTTAATTTGTACATTGATCCTTTGCTTACTTTAGATTTTCTGGTTAATCAGGACCGAAAAACTGATGCCTGAAAGATTACATTTGATTCCTATATGCACTTCAGTAGGCAGCATTTTCTTTTTCTTTTTTTTCTTTTTGGATCACACCTTGCAATGCACAGGGGTCACTCCTGGCTCTGCCTTCAGGAATTACTCCTGTCAGTGCTCAGGGGACCATACGGAATGCTGGAATCTAATCTGTGTTGGCCACTTGCAAGGCTATCGCTCCAGTTCCAGTAGGCAGCATTTTCAACCACTGGCCCATGAACCAGTGCTAGTCCATAGGTGTTGGAAGGTTGGCAGTCATGGGTCTTGCTTATAGCTGCTGGTCTCTGGACCAGTATAAACAACAGGTACTGATCACTGGTTTAAAAAGTCAAAGAACTTTGATATAAGTTATAGTCTTTCAGCTTTATCCTTCCTGGATGGTTCTGTGTTTTTGGCCACACCTGGTGGTACTCAGGAGCACTCCTGGCTGACTCAGGAGACCTTATGGGATTCTGTGAATTGAGCTTGGGTTGGCTGCATGTCAGGCAAATGCACTACCCACTGTATTATAGCTCTGGCCCCACCTTCCTGGCTTTTAAATGACTTGTATTTTTGAAGAAGTAAAAAGACTAAGGTGTTTAAGAGAAAAGGGATTGCTTTTCTACTTGGAAATCTGTTTATTTCTGATGTTCTTCTAGAACCTTTGGAATGAAAAGGGTTTAAGAGGAGATTGATGCATCTCTCTTATTTTCCTAGAGCTGGAGTACTTCACTAGAGAGAAAAAGATTTCCTAAGATCAGATGACATATTAAGGAGTAAAGTTTCTCTGGGCTGCAGAAAGAGGGCCATGAAGGAGTTCACCAACGTGGTATTTCCCTAAAACCATGTTAACACTTCTAGTTCATAATAATACCTTGCATTACATTAGAACCACTAGAACTCTCAATGTTTAATTGATAGTTTGGGAACCTGAATTGCTGTGGCAGTTTCCAGGTGTCCTGTCTGTCCTCCCAAGGGGCATTTTATTCAGCAGAGTGTGAGAACATTGGCTGAAAAGAACCTTGAAGGCCACTGAGACTTAGTCCTTTGCTGTACTGAAGGTTCTGTGTTATACCTGTCTGTTTCCTTCTCCAGTGGGGCTCTAAATAAAAAAGACTGTAGAGTTAGCATCTTTGATGGACTGATGGTAGCTTAAAATTTAAATCTGATGTGTAGCTGGTCAAACTCCTTCCTTAAATAAAATAGAAAACATTCCACTAGGACAAAACATATTTTTAAAGGTTTAAAAAATATGTTTGGGGCCGGAGCGAAAGCACAGCGGGTAGGGCGTTTGCCTTGCACACGGCTGACGTGGGTTCGATCCACGGCATCCCATATGGTCCCCCAAGCACTGCCAGGAATAATTTCTGAGTGCAGAGCCAGGAGTGACCCCAGAGCATTGCTGGGTGTGACCCAAAAAAGGCAACAAAATAAATAAATAAAATAAAAAAATGTGTTTATAAAATTAGGGGATGTTTAGTCTCTAACACTTCTCTTTGGAAATTAAAATTTTGACCTTAAGGTTGAGTAATATGCAGAAGACTCAGAGTACTGGGGAAGAAAGGACAGGGTTGGTGGGTCAGCATGTTTCACTGCTGTGAGGGGTCTGTGTAAGTGTAAAGTTGCAACATTTCCTCTCCAAATCAGATTGTCCTCTGCAATAAATGATTTTTCTCACCGCTGCACAGTTTATTCTTAAAAATGCCATAAGCACATCTCCCTGTATTTTTTTAAAATCTTTTTCTCTTCTGCTCTACAGCCAAATCACCAGGACTGCCCATACAAGTGGTTTATGTACCATCCCATCTCTATCACATGGTGTTTGAGCTTTTCAAGGTTTGTAAAAGAGTATTGCGTAAGCTTTATCAGTTCTTTCCTGAGGTCACGAGTTTGCTCTGGGACTTTTCCATTGGGTTTTCCTTCAGTTTCATTAAAGGGTGTCATTTCATGTGTGGTGTCAGATGATATCCTGGAGCCCAGCCTTTCCATGACTCTGATGAGTCTCATGATAAGCTCAGACTTTGGAGTCTGAAGACTTGGGTTTGAGTTGCACTTCTGCCACTTTATGTATGTGCCATGAGCAAGATAGATCAATCTTTCTAAATTTCCATTTCTTCAACACGTGGCCAGTATGGTCCAGGTTATGAAGATTGGGAATAGCAAAGTGTCCAGTCCAGCAAACAGAACCTTAGAAGTGCTCACTAAAGTCACATTTCTATTTTTACAGAACAAAATACTGAGAAGAATGATTGTCTCCTTTTCACACATAAAGAATCACAGTCTTCCTGCTAGATGCTTTGTTTTTATTTAACAAAGTTACTTCTAAGGCCAGAGTGATAGTACTGCAGGTAGCGCACTTGCCTTGCACACGTGTGACCTGAATTCCGTCCCCTGAGCACTGCTGAGTGTGGTCCAAAAACATAAATATAACTGCCCCCCCCCAAAAAAAAGGAAAGTCATTCCTCCCCTCTTAGAGGGCTTCCACTGTTAGATTTGCCTTCTACTATAATTTTTAAAAATCAAGAAAAATTATGCTAGTATATTTCCCACTCTCTGACACACAAAGGACACCTGATGACAGAGGGAAGGTGAGGGAGGAGAATAGAGGTGGTCCCAGTGACTGAAAATGACTGTCAGCCCCACATCCAACTTCTAGCATTTTAGCTATAGCTACATTACTTCTTCCAGTGGCAAACAAATGTAACTAGGAGTGGCAGCCTAGAGTGAAAAAGAAAAACCTACTAAAATGGAACAGAAAAACCGAATAATAAGGGTTTAGGAATACTTATTTATTCTAGGGCTGGAGCGATAGAACAGCAGTAGGGCATTTGCCTTGCACACAGCCAACATGGCCGACCCGAGTTCGATTCCTCCGCCCCTCTTGGAGTGCCCGGCAAGCTACTGAGAGTATCTCGCCCGCATGGCAGAGCCTGGCAAGCTCCCCGTGAAGTATTCGATATGCCAAACACAGTAACAACAAAGTCTCCAATGGAGATGTTACTGGGCCCGCTCGAGCAAATCGATGAACAACGGGAGGGCCTTTAATTTAATTTAATTTGTTCTAGGACACTACAAGCATGCCAATATCTTTTTTTCCCCTTTTTTTGCCAATATCTTTATAAGCAAAATCTAAGTACCTAAATGAGTAATCTGTGGCATTTATTATTTATTTGTGTTTGGAGGTGCTCAGGGCTTGTGCCTACCTCTGTGCTCAGGAATTTTTCCTTGCAGGACTTGGGGGACCGTATGTGATGCCAGGGATCTAATCAAGGTTGATTGAGTACAAGGCAAGCACCTTACCCTCTGTACTATCTCTGCAACCTATAGTGGCATTAAAGGATTGAAACTAATTTTTCCCTTGATATTTCGCCACCTGAAGTTCTTTTGCCTTAGTAAAAATAAATATATAATAGAAGAAATATTCCCATGATCTAGAAGATTTTACACTGTGTCATTAATAGTAGCCTCCGTCTGGAACATGCTTCTAAATGGCCTTTGGTAAAGATGATAAAATGTCCTTTTTGGAGAGAGAGAACAAAAGGGAATGTCCTGCCACAGAGGCAGGGTGGGATGTGGGGTGGGGGGCGGGATACTGGGATCAGTGGTGGTGGGAAATGGGCACTGGTGGAGGGATGAATACTCGATCATTGTATAATTGAAACCCAAGCACAAAAATTTGTAAGTCTACAACTGTACCTTATGGTGTTTCACTAATAAAAATCTAAAAAAAAAGAAATGTCCTTTTTGGGGTTGTTCAGTTCTATGGATTGAGTTGTGAGGGTCACACAACCTGATTTCTGGGTTCATTCCCCACTTTTTAACTCTGTCTAGTCTTTGTCATTTTCTCCACCAATATCACCTGTCAAGTTAGGGTTTAATACTAAAATATGTTCTCTTTGTATACCATGTTTCTTTTAGAAATTGATCAAAACAGTTTTTCAGTGTGAATATCCTTCATTTTAAGCGAATGGTAAATTAGAGTCATTTCTACTGCATCATAAGAACATTGCTATTAAAAATTTAAAAAATTGCTATACCAAAAAAATGGGGAAAATGGTTTTGGGTTGTTCTTGGCTACGTTTACAGCTTACTCCTGACTGTGTGCTCAGGGATTACTCCCCATGGTTCCAAGGACCAAACTGGGGTCAGATGCATACAAGGCAAGTGCCTTACACCCCATACTGTCTCTCCAGCCGCTAATTGTTTTTTCTTAAAGCAATTTATGATCATTAAAATAATTTTTAAAAATAGAGCCAGCTGTTTTCAGAAATAAGATTTTCCCATCTACTAAAATCATAAAAGTATTTATTTAATAGAATTTTCTGCTTTCCTATAAACTAATGGAAGTGTTAAGAAGCTTGATCTTGGATAATATACTTAGTTGGAATCTTTAAAATGGTCTTTAAAATGGTCTCTTTCACATCCTCCATTACTGATTAATTGCTTTCTTAAAAAAGTAATTCTTTGAAATATGGTTATAGCACCCCAAGTTATCGCCCCGAACACAATGGATAAATAAGGAACATGATTAAGAAATTTTTTTTAGGGTCAGAGAAATAACTTTAAGTCCAGAGCACATGCTTTCCATGTGGGAGCCCCAGGTTTGCTCCTCAGCCCCACATGGCTCCCCCCAGCATAGGTATGCCCCGTCCCAGAAAGATGTTTTTAAAATCTCAAACTCTGCATATGTACTTGGAAATTACAATTCGCTTCTTTTGTTTTGAAGCTGCATCTTCACTCTGACCCTCATGTATTTCAGAACGCCATGAGAGCCACGATGGAGTATCATGCCGACAGCGGGGTCTACCCACCCATTCGGGTCCATGTCACGCTGGGTAAGGAGGACCTGACGGTGAAGGTAATTGCTGGCTCTTTCCTTCCTGCTTTTAAAATTGATGTAAAGATGCACACTGATTTCCAGAAAATATCCATTCTTCGGAGAAACAGATTCCATCCTGTATGCTGCTTCTTGCATCTAGTGGATCATAGAATTAAATCTTTCTAGCCTGGACCCTAATCAGACAAGTCAAGCTAACACAGTCCTGGTAACAGTTTATAGCAATCACTAATATTTCCTCTGATACCCACTTTTTTGGGGGTGAGCTATGGAGATCTCCCGAGCAGAGTTAAAGGGAGGGTGAGGGTCACTCCCCCGCAATATTCGGCCCAGCTCAATGAACCTGAAGGATCCTTTTTTTTTTTTTTGGCTTTGCTTTTTGCTTGTTTTTGCTCCACATCTGGTGGTGCTCAGGACTAACTCCCAGCCCTCTGTGCAGGAATCCTGGCGAGGATCCTCAGGGGACCATAAGGGGTGCCAGGGATCAAATTCCAGTTGTCCACATATAAGGAAAGTGCCCAACCCACTGGACTATGTCTTTGTCCTGAAGGTTTCTTTTTCCCCCCCAGAGATGAGGTGCTGCTTAGGCCTGGTGATACTAGGTAGGGCCCACCAGGGCTACGCCTGGTGGTGCTTGGGGAACCGTTGCAATGTCAGTGACTCCAGATACCTTTGAGCCCATGCTTGATGGGCTTGTGGGACTCATCCAGGTAGTGGTTCATTTTCTAGGGCTTGATCTCTGCCTTTGTAGATGGTCCTCCTGCTGCCCACCCGCTGAGGCTGCGGGATGATGTGCAGGTGACTCTTCTCCACCTGGGTTTCTCCATGGCGGTGCCCCTTTCTCAGCCTTGCCTGGGTGCTGCAGCAGTGAACGCCCCTTCCCCACACCAAGCGTGCCTGTGGAGAGTCCCTTCCGCTGCACTCATTTTCACCCTGGTCTCATCATTTCTTTTCACTGTGAGCATCCTCTCCTCCTTTTTCTAGTTCTTTCATATGTAAGATGAGCTCATTTGAGATTTTGCCTGTGGTGCTGTAAAGTTCCCAGTTAGTGAGTGTCCCTTTTGCTACATCCCAAACATTCTGATAGAGTTTGTTTTGTTTATTTTTGTTTGGTGGCAGGGGTTGAGGTCACACCTGACTGTGCTCGGGGCTCGTTCTCAGCCCTGTGCTCAGGAGTCTCTCCTCGTGGGTTTCAAAACCCAGTCGGAAGGGTGCACAAACAAGGGTTTTACCTGCTGTGCTGTTCAGCTCCTGCCCACTGGGGTAGTGTTTTTTAAAATTTATTTCCAAAGTTTTAAGTCGCCTTTGATTTCTGGGGTGATACAGAAGTTGCCCCGAGGTATATTTTTCAGTCTCCACATCTTTGTGATCTTTCCGACTTTCTTCTTGGAGTTGGTTTCTGACTTCTAACACAGTAGGAAAGGTGCTTGATGAGACTTCAGTCTTCTCAAACTTGAGAGATTTTCTAATCTCAGTATGAGAGTGTAGAGGGTAAGAGAAGAGTGTATAACCTGCCTCTTTCAATGGAATAGTCTCTATAGATGTTATATCCATCTGATCTGATGGCTCATTTAAAACAAAGTTTTCTTTCTTTTTTGGTGAGGGGGGTTCAGGGGAGCAGGGGACTGGACCACAGCCAGTGGTGCTCAGGGCTCATTCCTGACTGTTCTCAGGGATCACTCCTGGCTGTGCTCATGGGAACGGTATGTGGTGCCAGCATCAACCACATACAAGACAGGCAAACGCCTTACTCATTGTACTATTTCTCCCGCTCCTGTTTTCTTACTATTTGGAGGACCAATCCTTCGATGGAAATGGGTGTTAAGTCCTCTAATATTCCTGTATTGTTGTCAGTTTTTCTCTTTATTTATTTATATTAAATTTATTTATATTAACTGAATCGATGAGATACACAGATACAGGGTTGTTCATGATTGGTTTTCTGTCATAAAATGTTCCAACACCCGTCCCTTCACCAGTGCATATTTGCCACCACCAATGTCCCTAGTTTCCCTCCCGTACCCACCCCCACCTGTATGGCAAGCACTTTCTCCTCTCTCTCTCTCTTTCTCTCTCTCTCTCTCTCTGTCCAATTATAAGCAAATTTCATGACTTCATTTTTCCTGGTGGCTGCATAGTATTCCATTGTGTAGATGTGCCATAGTTTCTTCTGTTCTCAGGCACTTGGGTTGTTTCCAGATTCTGGCTATTGTGAACAGTTCTATAATGAACATAGGAGTGCAGATGGTGTTTCTGCTGTATGTTTTTTTGGGTTCCCAGGGTATATCCCCAGAAATGGTATGGTTGGTCTAATGGGAGTTCAATTTCTGTTTTTTGGGGGAATGTCCATATTGTTTTCTAAAATGGCTGGACCAGTCTGCCAGTCTGTCACCAACAATGAATGAGAGTCCCTTTCTCCCCACATCAGCGCCAGCACTGTTTGTTCTTGTTCTTTTGGATGTGTTCCAGTTTCTGTGGGTGAGATGATATCTCATTGTTGTTTTGATTTGCATCTTGATAATGAATGATGTAGACCATTTTTCTGCATCACTTTGGAACTTTGGAAGTTTTTCTTGAGTCATTATTTGCTATCTTTTATTTATTTATTTATTTATTTTGCTTTTTGGGTCATACCTGGCAATGCACAGGGGTTACTCCTGGCTCTGCACTCAGGAGTTACTCCTGGCGGTGCTCAGGGGACCATATGGGATGCTGGGAATCGAACCCGGGTCAGCCGCGTGCAAGGCAAACGCCCTACCTGCTGTGCTATCTCTCCAGCCCCGCTATCTTTTATTTAGATGTTGGATATGTTTATGGTGGTGACTTTATCTTCTTGATGTTAGATCCCTGTATCATTTTATACTGCCCATCTTTGTCTTTTATTGCAGTCTTTGTTTTAAACTCTTGTCTGGTATGGATGTAGCAGAAACAGCTTTGCTTTCCATTACAATTGCACAGAATTCTCCCCTTCTCTCCCCATTAACTTTCAGACTCTTAGTGTAAGCAACATATAATTAGGGCCCATATTTTTCCTTCCCTGTGTTTGTTTACCTTTAATGTATGGTGCATGTATTCACTGACATTTTGCTTATGATTTTAAGCTGTTTTTGTTGCTCTTCTCTATTCCTTCTTTTCCCTTTTCACCTGTGTTTGATGGTTGTCTTGGCTTTTCTGGTGCTCGTTTTTGAATACATGAGGCAAATCCTCTACCTCATTTTTCTTAAGCTGTGCATTTAGCTGCTTTGTTCATTTTCTTCTGATCTTACAGGACTGGTTTTGTTGTGCGGTTCCTATGAGGGTCAGATATAAGAAGTTATGTAAATATTGATTTGTATTGATAATTATTTACATCTGGACACATTCCCAAAATGCATTTTTACTCTGACCCTCATGTCTTATAGTTTGATGTCTTGTTTTACGTAGTTATGTGTGAGTTTCCAAAGAAAAGCATAGTGGCGCACAGGAATCAAGCGTTCTGTGGCCGAGAACCATTCCTCTGGTTGGCCCACAACAGATGAACAAAGGATTGGGGAATGGAGAAACAGGGACTAGGCTGGTTGGTAGGCAGTTTATTTCTCTCTCCTCCCCAGCGTAGGCCGATCTCTCTCCTTACAGCACATAGTCATAGTAGTCGTAGTTTTGATCATAGTCCCAGCCATCATAGTTCCATCATCCTAGTCTTCTCATAGACCTCAAAGTCCTCTCTCTCTCTTACCCCTTACAGCATAGCCATATAGAAATCATGATGGGTGGGGGTACACATAGGTGGGGTTGAACGTTGCCATAACAACAAACAGAGGTAAAGCCACTCCTTCAGGAGAAGTTCTAGGGGATTAACTCAAGGACAAAATCTCATCTGAGGGTTCAGCACTCCAGATTTCTAGAAGATCCGCACAAGGGCAGGATTCCATCCAGGGTGTGTTGCTTTCTCTTTCTCTCAGCTAGTAACCCATTTAAACAACCATAGTAAGTTTACTTCTTAAAATATTTCTAGTCATTTTGTATGAACACAGTAAGAGATATATTAAGCTTAAAGATTGGCTCTTCCTGGGACATCTCACTATATATCCCAGACAACAGTCCTCAGGCCAGGTTAGTCTTTCCTAACCCCACCAGGGTCCTTATTCAGTTACTTTCTTTTTGGGTCATGACAGTTTGCCCATGACCATGTTCTTATTATACATATGGTACTTAGCTTGTCCCCTTTCCATGCCAGGGTAGCTCACAGCTTGCCCTGAGTCCATCCAGTCCCTTCGTTGGGACCTCCTTTTGGAGTGCTCGAAACTAAGGGCAACTGAGGCTTAAGTCAGTAAGTATGGATGGATGCCCAGGAGTAAACATTATTTTGGCAGCAGTTAACTCCCATGTTACAAAGCACAGCATGAACCTGTCTTTCTGTGTCTATACAAAAAGGACACTCCTAAATAAACCATGCAAATGACATAAAAGAAAGAGAAAAGCAATATAAGATTATCAGTGCCTGTTGGCACTGGGTGTTCCTCAGGGTCACTGTTGTGGGAGTAACTCAGTAAACCTAAGCTCCTGAGGGAGGAGCAAGGACAACCCAATGTTATACAACAGTTATGTTATGTAACTCTCTTTACTGATTGTTGTAGATTGGAGCGATAGCACAGTGGTAGGGCGTTTGCCTTGCATGCAGCCAACATGGCCGACCCGAGTTCGATTCCTCCGCCCCTCTCGGAGAGCCCGGCAAGCTACTGAGAGTATCTCGCCCCCACGGCAGAGCCTGGCAAGTGACCCGTCATGTATTCGATATGCCAGACACAGTAACAACAAAGTCTCCAATGGAGACGTTACTGGGCCCGCTCGAGCAAATCGATGATCAACGGGAGGGCCTTTACTTACTTACTTACTTACTATTTATTTGTAAAAGACTTACTATTTCGGGCTGAAGAGGTAGTACAACAGGTAGGACACTTGCCATACACATGGCCAGTGCAGGTTTGATCCAGGACACCTCATATGGTCCCCCAAGCCTGCCAAGAGAGAGTACTGAGCAC